CAAACATCATAAACATCTTCAAGGGAAGAAATATAGTTTCTGTCTTCTTGAACCCCTTTGGATAGAATAAATGTATTCATTCTTATAGATATTGCTAGATTTTCAGGTTGAAATTATTATTATTATTTTAATAATATTCAACAAAATTTAGGTTATTTTTTTACATATCCTTATTATGGGTGCAAACAAATGTCTCAATCTCTGAAGCTCTAGCTCCTTTTTTTCATATTTGGATTTATAATCGGACCCTCTGCTCTTACTGGATGAACACTTCAGTATTGTGTTTTTGCAGAGGTGGCAGGAGGCAGAGGGATGAATCCTATCAAACTGGCACGATGTAGTACAAATATGATTACATGCTGCTGAGCATACAGGAGCTGTCGATGATGGAGAGGAGTTAAAATTAAAGCAAATGTTGTAAAGCATAAGGGAGATCAGAGAAGTGTAAACAGAAGAAATGACAAGAAAAAGAGACACCAAGCTGGGTGAATAAAAAAGCTGAAAAAATAGAACATAAGGCAGAAAGAGTGACTGATACAGGTATGAAGGTGAAGCCACAGGGGGCTACAGGTGAGCTGTTTTATGCATAAAACAGGATGGCTGTTTTGTGCGATGGCCAAACCGTTTCCTATGGGCGAAGAGCATCAAAGCATGAAATCAGAGGAGGTTGTGATGCAGTTTGTTGGTCTTGGGGGAATCATTGGTGACAGGGCAGAAAACAACAGAGGGCCATCATTATTCCTCTGTCCTACTACACTTGTACACTTTTTCCAGCCTTTTGGTCTTTAACACTTCATTTGTTTTAGACTAACAATTTATAAAGGAAAGCTCTGTGTTTATACCTTTAAGCTTTCTTTTCCTGATTCTTTCCTGAGAAGAGATCACTCGGAAAAAACACTTTAAATAACACTTCATAATGTATATGTATTAAATGACTATTTGACATGGATGCAGAAACTTTAATTTTACTCAGATCAGAGAAATGCCTCGTGTAACAGTTGGTAGTAATTCCCATCTTCAGAAAGTTCTGCCTGTTCTGTTCTGGTTCAAGGAAACTGAACTGAAACTGAACTGTCTGTGCTCTCAGTTCATTTCCAGTTCTTGTTCTAATTAGATAAACTGCTTGGGAAGACATGAGCCTTACCACGCAACAGGCAGGTATTATTAGGGTTTAACAAGCACATACATGAACCATAAAAATAATCCTAACACATAGATTTTATAATGTTTTCCATACACCCATTCTTAAAGATCGTACTTCTAGATTAAATTTCACTATCTAAGATACATTTTTCGATATCAGTACTCCTGGTAGTTATTTTTGTTATTGGAAAGTTTGTTTATTTTTGTAAAAATACTCTCTGAATTCTAAAAGCATTTTATCAAATTTGGCAGTGGTTGGGGTAGATAGCATAAACAGCTTATTAAAACAAAGAAATAATCAACAGCCTAAGAAATCTTGAGATACTAACAGACTGTTTGATATCCACCTTTAAAGTCTGATAGATCAAGATCATAGAAGCAGCTGCATCCATGCAAATTAATTAAAACATATTGTATTCAATATTTCATGCATACTTTATAAATAATACAAACTTGTCTCCTTGGAAAAAACATCTAATCAAACATGCAAGCCTTGACTCCCGGTTTCAGGCTGTCATCATTTGATATATTAGTTCTGGTCTTTTGTTTATTCATTTAGAATTAAACGGTTAAAAACCCTACCATTATTTGATGAAATTACCCTTTAGAGCTGTTTGAATTGCTTAATTTCTGACTATGTGCCTTCTTTTAAAAAAACAGCTTTTCACACAGTTTAGCTTCAAGCTTTGCAAAGATATTCCTTATATTACTGTATGAACCATTTTAAACATTTGATCCAAACTGTCTTCCTTAAATGAAAAGACGCTTCTTGGTGGTGTTTAGGGACAATCCAGAAACCAACATGGCTCAATCTGATTATAGTCTGGAAATTCCTGGAGCACCAGTGTCAACACAATGTAGTATAACATTCCCAAGGACTGGGGTGTAAACTATGAAGTTCAGCTCAACTTCTAATCAACAGCTTGATAACTTAAAGTTTGAAATTGTTGGTTATATTGAAGGATAATAACCCCAAACAACACAGATAAAGCAGGGCATTATTGGCCTTCTGATAAGGCTCTTAAATGAGCATTCAAAATGAACTCTATCTTTCCACTAAGAATTGTGATCAACACATGTGAATTATGCTCTCATAATTGTGTTCTAAAAATGATTCAAGCTCTATTTCTCTATTCTCTGTTCACCTCAGAAAATTAACAGTTCAAATAAATCCCAAAAACCACAAAAGATGAATCTTACTAATGTACAGCTGTTTTACAAATATGAGAAAGAGAAAAGGTGTTTTCAAATTCAATTATTATCCTAATATCAAGACAACTATATTGCCTCCAAATCATATAAAGACATGAGAGAAGATTAAGGGAAAGTGATGCAGAATATCTTTTGAGCAATCTAATCCCATATAAACTGTATTGTGTTAGATTTGGATTATGTTACACTACCAGTGCAGTAGTCTCCTCTTTGTTGGTGCCAGCACTGCTGACATCATGCTGAAAGATACTGTGGAGCAAGACTGGGACAGAACATCAATAAATTCATTACGCAATTGAGTGTCTTGTGAGCAATGTACTTACAGCTTAACTGTTCGGGGCCCTCTCAAGAGTCTTAAAGCGACAGAAAATAGATTTTATTTTCTTGGCTACCCTGTACCTCTCAGAAAGCTTTACTCAATGTGATGCTGACACAGAAGTGATGTTTAGGGTGATATCCTTTAAATAGATCAAATAGATACCAAAAGTTTTTTTGTTTGTTTTTTGCTAAACCTTGTATAAATATATTCTCTGTAATAAGGCAAAAATGGCGCATAAACTGAAGTTGCCCTTGAATGTTGAAATGAATTCCTGGGATCTAAACAGATCTTGCAGGTAGATTAGCCAAGACCCTTCACTAAATCTGTAAAACAGATTTCTGCTACGAGTAGCAAATAAACCTGAATTAATATGAACTGAAGGGCAAAACCTATTTCTCTTAAACCTTATTTAGTAGCACAAACTCTTTGTATCTAACTCAAATTAATTAATGAACATTTTTATGTTGAGTAAAAAATGATCTAAACTAGACATCTCACCAGGAAAATTGTTAAGCAATTCTGAAACTATTTGTTAAAGAAACTGAATTTTGAGTTGAGAAAGAGTAAAAAAAAAAAAAAAAAAAACAGCAGGTATTTCTATTAACAGGCAACACCACACAAAAATCTCACGTAATAGAAACTGCAGCAGTGTTTCTCTCATCAGGGTAATTTGTAACGATCAGTGATAGAAATCAATGCTGTTTTGTAAGAGCATTGATCTCATCGGTGATGATTAGGCTTAAAGGAGAGCAGAGGGCTTGTTTGTTAAATCAAACTGGATTACTGTTAACATTTGTCTCCTTATTGTTCAATGCCTGTTTTTTTTGTGCTCTCCACACTGTAGTTACTCATCGGTGTTACATAAGGAGGTGCTCACTGATACAAATACTGTTTTCCATTGGTTTCTGAAAAACGTGGCATTTCCTAAATGTTAATGAGCAGTGCATAGATGGGCTTGTGGTGGAAACAATCATGTAAATCAAACTACAGTGCCTTGCAAAACTTTTACCCATTAGACTCTGTTTCAGTCACGCACTGCTGTAGGGCTGAAACAATTAATCAGGTTAATCAGCGACCTACTAAGAGCAGTAATTATACCAAAACAAAAAAATATATCTATAAATACTTTACATTTAAAATAAAAATAAAAATTTTCGTCTGCCTACTTGATCTATCCAGAACTTACAATTGAAAAGTGTTAGTTTCACCTGGTTAAATTCTGTAAAAAAAATCTTCCCTAAGGAATCTTTTGCTATCTGATTATTTATCGACTCATTGAAAAAAATCATCTACAGATTAATCTTTTAGCAAAATAATCATTAGTTACAGCCCTACACTACTATTTGTAACGTTTTATAGGCCAGCCATATTTATAAATTAAGGTAAAATAAGAGTAACCAGAGAAGCACTCTGAGAGTACAGACCTATACCAAGCAGTGAATTTTGCCCCATATTGTGACTCACACATGATCTGGATCATTACCAAATTTTTATGAATTCCTCCGTGGCATGAGGTGCACTTTCATTAACAAATTCCTTAAAATCCTATTTTAGAGGTTTATAAATAAGTCCCAGTGTGTGTCTGCAGCCTCTAGAGTTTTATCTGCTCTTACCTTCTTCATTCACTCTGCTTTCTTGTTAGAACAGCAGATCAAAACTTCGAGCGAGGCATGGCTCACCTTTCCTGTTTTTTTGTCTTCAGTATAATATTTCTGGATTTTTTGAGTCCAATGCTAAATAATAAGATGGAATTGTCCACTCAAACATAGGAGAAAAGATAAGTCTTCCTTACCTTAATAAGGTGGTGAAGAAAAATCTATTGTTGAAAGAAAATAATTAGAAGGCATTTTTATCATTATCCTGCAGACATTTAATTTATCTTACATGTGGAACATCATGCTGTGGTCAGTTGGGACAAAACCTTTGCTTCATGCTCTGTTTGGTATAACTACACCACATGGTGGTGGCAGCATCATGCTGAGGGGATGCTTCTCTTTAGCAGAGGGAAATTAAAAGTTGTGGTTCACAGATGCTCTCAATCCAGTCTTACTAAACTGCAGCTATTTAGAAATACTCGTCTACAGATTTACTGCTGTAATTACTGCAAAACAACATTTGACAATGAATCTATTCAGGAAGGCTGAAAACAAATTCACAAAATGCTATTATGTAGGAAAAAAAAAGAAATATTAATACCTTTGCAAAATACTATATATATTTAATCTATTATCAGCTATAATATTTATTATAACATACCTCTCTAGCTGCATACATCTTAATATGTACAGGGAAACATAAAACCTATTTTATTTGTTCTTTTTTTCAGGCAGTGTCGTTTATCTGGGAATGATGGTTGGAGCTTTCTTCTGGGGAGGGATGTCTGACAAAGTTGGCCGCAGACAGTGCCTCCTCATTTGCATGTCCACCAATGGCTTCTTTGCCTTCTTGTCATCTTTTGTCCAGGGATACGGAGTGTTCCTTCTCTGCCGTATAGTTGCCGGCTTTGGGTAAGTCTTTTAAGGTAGAGGTCAAAATCTTAAAAAAAAAAATACTGGCAGCACGCTGTTCTTAGTCAGAGATTAGGATTCCTAATTTCTGTTTATTTTTAAATTCAGATTAAAATAACCAAAAAAAACAAAACCCTTGGAACTCTGCTTCCGTAATCATTTGTGTACGGTATAAAGTATTGTATTTTTTTATACTTTAAGAAATGCTTTCTTGTTTGAACCCTTTTGAACCGTTCAGAAAACAGCGTGTCCTCTACTTGCATCAGACACTTGACACAGACTGTGATTTATTATGTCGGCAATATTGCTGTTTGTGTAAGAGCTAATCCAGTAATTGCCCCTACGTTCTCCCCAGAGACACTCGGCAGTAATTGAAATGTTGACCAGAATTTGATGTGTTCCTCAATTCTGAAAAATCCTCTTTGTTTTTCTGTAATGTTTAATAAAAAATGTTGACTTGACGTATTTTAGAGATATGATAAAAAAAATAAATAACAAAAAAAGGAAAATGTTGTCCAACAAAAAGTCCTTGGTCTGGAATAAAATCTTCTCCTAAATGCATTGTGTGTAAAATAACCATTAGAAGGCAAATTTACCTCAAGTGTCTTCTGTAAAGGTCATTTAGTGGCAGCTTGAACTTTAACTGCTGAACTCTTAACTCTGACCTTAAGTCTCTGCTTAGATGGAGCCATTTCACCTTTTGTATTTCCATGTCATATCCCTTTCTTCTTTGATTCAGTTTACAGTGCTGATCAACACGTAAATTCACATGTTAGCTACCAAACCACAACAAGCAAGTGGAAATGCCTCACTTTTAGTCCCAGAATGTCTGTCTTTTGAATTTGGGAGTAATATATTTTTTGGGGTCATTTAAGCCTATTTTACTCATCCCCACAATACTTTACTCAGAAACTTTCACAGTTGATTCCAAGATTAGCAATTCAAGCATTTTATTATGCATCATTTTTAAAATAGAGCCTAGTGTCAGGGTTAGTGTATGTTGTTGAGGACCCAAATACAGAGTCAAGGACGCAGAGATAGTTCTTGCAGTTTTAATAGTGAAGTAAATGGTACAAAAACATAAATCCAAAAATAGAACTCAGGGACCAAAAACTAGAGAAGCTTGGGAGAAACTTACAAGAAGAAATGAAAAGAATCCAGCAGAGGTAGAGTATATATGGGAGACAGAACAAGGAGTGGATTAATCAGTTCAGTGGGAGCAGGATTGGAAAGGAGGAGCTAGAAAGGAGCTAATGGGAAAGAAAATGGGCACTAGGGGGCAACAGAGAGTAACCAAAGGAAACAGTGTTTAACTGTAACTAGAAAAGAACTTAAATAAGGCTAAAGGGGAATCAAACTAATGACTAGAAAATAAGGAATGACCAAGGGAAAAACTGGAGAATATGAGAAGGGAGTGGAGATAACTGAAGCTAGGAATACATAACCTGAGGATAAGAGAATTGCTAACTAACTAAAACCAAACTAAGGAATAAATAATAGCAAAAATGCTGAAACGAGATAACGAGGAAGACTAAAACTAAGAATTCAAAAATTATATAAATCTTGACAATACAGAATAACATAAGGTAAAGCTTTACCGAGAACCCAAAATGAAAACTTACACAGAACCAGAAATTCCAGAATGGCAGCTCATAATACCCAGTGCTTCAGAAAGTTAAGGAATGTGCTTTTTTCTTCACACAACTTTAGTATTTAGTCAAATTTAGTTTAATACAAGAACACAAAATCTACATTGCCATGTTTTGTCCTTTATTTGGTTATGCTTATCTTATATGTGGCAAAGACCAGATAGTCATTTTCTCATACTTAAGGGATGTAAAGCTTATCAACTTTCACTAATTGTGGTAATGTCAGCTTCTGTCATTGTAAATGTTCTTTTCTCTGGTTATTGCAGGATAGGAGGCGCTGTTCCCATAGTTTTTTCTTTTTTTGCTGAGGTTTTGTCCAGAGAGAAAAGAGGAGAACACCTCAGCTGGTTGTGTATGTTCTGGATGATTGGAGAGATCTATGCATCTGCCATGGCCTGGGCCATCATACCACATTATGGTGAGTTCACATCTTCACCCAGTGAAGCAGGTACTTTATTGTGTGGTACCTTAATAGCAGAAGGTATAGAGCCTTCATCAATTCGAATAAAGGCTAAATATGAAGTTGAAATTGGCTGCAAGTTATTTGGTGGAAAACAAGCAACGCTTCACAGAGCAAGTTAAGCAGCACCCAATTGAAATTTTTGAAAAATGTTTGACTACAGTTGCAAATCTTGTGCTGCTCTTTCCATAATCACAGCTTGCTTTCTCTGCCAATCGACACAATCCCTTAAAGCTCTAGGTGTCATCCCACTAGGAAAGGAGTGGCAACTGTTAAAACCTTAGCAGTATTTATCATATCTTATGACATGAATTAATAACAAAAAAAAAAAAATCAGGATATAAAGCTTAGAGATGTACAGATCCAATATCAATATGATATCAGTCTGATATTAGCCAAAAAAACTATCAGTCAACTTATAACTTCTCCAATATTGTAATAGTGATAGAAACATTCTTCTACTGTTGAAAGTTTCTGTAACCCATTGGTTAATATTTCATCGGCCAATTGTTCTCATAGCTTTTGTTGTTGACTGTTTCTCTCTGTTTTACTGTAGTAATATCACTTGATCAAGCCTATTCTAACATTCTACATTACAAAGGACGTAATAAAAGCCTGTATGATTCATGCTGATATCTTACATGGTCGATATCGATATGGGTCGATTCTTTAAGCTGCAGTATCGTTACTGCATCGTAAATGAAAAAAGTTGTATCAGAACACCCTACAGTAATAAAGATATAACCCAAACTTTATTGATTCATAACACCTTTCAGTTTGGGACTTTCTGTTTATTTATCTTTCAGTTCTGAAAAATAATGTTGTGTGTTCTGTTCGTCAGATAGACAATGAGTTTCTATGAACTGTGTTCAGTCTACAATCCTGAAAAATAAAACGACTTGTTGTTGAGTACTGCAGTAAAACCAGTCTATGCATTTTGTACATAAACGCCTGACTTTTGAAATGACTGGACATGTAGTTTACATGGTTGAGGTGTGAGGAGGAATGAACATGGATCCTTTTTATACAACTTCTAACTTATTGATGCTACTTGCAAAGGGGTAGAAGATAACCACACTGATAAAATTCCTGATGATATTAAAGGTTTGATAGATCCTAATTTTATTTTCAGATGATTTAGCCTTTAGAATCTATTCTGTCTTTTAGTTTATAAATTTTGGGACATACCATGTTGCTCAAGTGTAATCCTTGTTTAGGTTCTATATCACCTTGTCAGTGTTAGCAAAGAAAATTATTTTCAATCCCCTTCCCACCAGGATTGTGTTTATCTATTTCCAGGTTTTAAACCTGCTCTCCCTTCCTTTTACTGGATGCTATCTCCTTTTACTTTGTTCTCTCCACAGCCTCCCCGTCTAGCTCCGTCCTCCCCTTTATTACCTCCCCTCTTCGTCTCTGCAGAGTGTTCTTCTTGATCAAGCATAATTAGATTTTTCTCCTTGCTCTAATAGGACAAAGCTACATCTAGAAGTGATTTATGACCAGCCTATGGTTTAGCCAACCTGTGACGTCAGTAAGACAGAAGCGCAGTCTGTGAGTCTGTGTCTGCCTGTGTGCCTTTGTGAGTGCATGCACTGCTCTGTATTGCATGAATGAGATTTTATGAGTGTAGCAGACACACAGGTCTTCCTCTAGGAAAATTGAAAGAAATAAAATCTGACACTGGAAGAGGTCAGTCAAGTTAAACTACACACACACACACACACACACATATACACACACACCCTAACCCACAAAAAGGACCTCTAATGGAGTAGCTGAGAGTGAGTTATAATATGCGCCATTGCTTGAGCTTTGCTACAGATTCTTCCATAAGGACTAACAGAAGCCCACTGTTAGAGTTAGCATTAAAACCCTCTAAACCAGGAGTTCACAAGTCTTTTAGAAGTCCATATGCTTTCAGATCTGTTGTTGTCATGCCAAAGAGGCAGTGGATGCCTTACTGTGCTCTTAATCTTAAAGCTACAGTGTGTAATTTTCAGCGACATCTAACGTCCAGACTGCAGACTGCAGCAACATGAACGTCTCCCCCCCACCGCTTCTCCCCCCCCAACAGTACAGCGAGCGTTAGGGGACAAAATGTCTTCCACGACGTCGGAATCACCTACCTTCTCAAGTGATGAGGTTTGTTTACATAGATCATTTTACAGATAGTATTTCATTAGTCTGTGTAGGGTATAGATTTCATGTAGACTTTAGATAATAAATATACCCGTTATTTTTTCTACGTCGTTGTGACGTTTTGGTGAGCTGCTTTGCATGGTGATATAAACAGACGAAGTAATTGTAGTCATTAGTTTAACAGCGAGATTGTGTTCGCTGGAAGAATATATATTCCCCGTTTACAGAGTCCAAGTCTTGTTTGTTGCACGGGGGTTACAAGGCGAAGAAGAGGGAGAGAAAGAGGGCGAGGGCAGAGAGGCCGGGGTGGGCGTGCAGCTAGGGCCAGGCGAGGGAGGGGTGCCAGCGGGGTGAGAGCAGAGGAAGAAAGGCTTGAAGATCTCCAAAGGAGCCGGAGAGAAGTAACCGAGGTATATATCCAGAAAATAATTTTACAGAAAATTACTGAATCATTACCTGTGAAACGTCAGGGACATTGCTGAATAAGAATACTGGAGAGTAACAGCATCATCACGCAGCATGTTATTGTTTTAGACAGGTCTGAGCATCCTGTACTCCAAAAACTGCAGTGATATTAGACAATTGTGTGTGTAGGATTAATTACCTGTCCAAGAGAAAACTGGCAACTTGAGCGTCACTTTGAAAACCTTTTTCCTCCATCAGTGACTTCCATCGTGTAAATGCCGTGCCAATGTTGATCCGTGTTTTTTGTCGTTTCTTGTCACGCTTGCGTTTATTCTCGTCGTGTTTCCGCTTCTTAGATGACGGGGGTTCGGTGTCCGCCGCTTTTCGTTGTGATACAGAGTAGGCATGATCCTCCATTCGTCTGATGTTTGGCCACACAGTGCCAAACAGTTTGCAAAGTCACTCACGCCTGCCGCCTTGTTTACCTTTCTTGTTACTGAGGCGCAGTATACCTGCTTCTTCTTCTTCTTTGGTTTCAGGCAGACTAAACGCTTCTCAGGCATAGTACTGCCATCTACTGTTCAGTACCGTCTCAGTTAATCTCTCTCAACTTGCCGTAGTTATTTTCGAGCGTAATGGGAGATCTCGCAATCGCTAGTTTGTTGCCTCTGCGCTTGCCGTAGCGCAAAGATGTCAGCCTCCATAGCTGCGAGACCCGCTCCTATGTAATTATAAATAACGAATTCTAAGGCAACGCAAATATTATGGTTAAAAGGCTGAGCTCATAGGTGATGATAAATAACATAGTTATGTATAATATATTAAATTTCTGACTTTATATCCCTGTAATTATTACACACTGTAGCTTTAACTCCGTTACTGTGTTTTCCTGTTTTCTCAGAAGAAAACGGCATGTTTTGCAAACATACTTAAAATCTCATCTTGTTGTCACATCTCTGTTCATCTGTAGGCCATTTCGTGCAATTTTAGATCATTCGGTTCGTTGTTATTTAGAAGTATTCTTAGGGCTTTTTTTAAATGTTTAGCATTACGCCACAATGAGCTGCTGATCTTTGGTTCCATTTCACTGCACCTAATACAGATGATGAAAAATATTTGAATCGAGTATAAAAACGAATGCTACAAATAGTTTGAAACAGAGAATTAGTGCATATCAACGGAATCTCAAAAACTTGTTGTTTCTGTGCTGGAAGTAAAAGAGCTGCAGTCAATGCCACAAACTGAAGTAGGCGTCATCTAGTTTGTCTTTGTCAAAGTAGAAAAGCTTCTAAGATTAAAAAAGGGAAAGGAGATATGTTTTAAAACAATAGCATACAAAGAACTGTACAAAGCACTCAAAGCAATCTTAGGGATCCACCATGCTCACTTTATCATTATCGTTCTGCTCACTTTATTGTTATTTATATCATATATATAAGGCTGAAACAATTAATTGGATTAATCATGATTAATCAATTATTAAAATAATCATCAGCTAATTTAGTAATAGATTAATCATTAGCTAGAGTGTAGAGACTGTAAAATATGTCTTAGCCGACAGAGCGACCCACTTGTAGCAGTAATTACATCTATATATATATATTTATAATAATAATAAAAAAACTATATAAAAAAGTTTTAGTTTCACCTGGTCTAATTTTGTAAAAAAATCAACTTTAAGGAACCTTTTGCTATCCGATTATTAATCAAGTATAATCGACAGGTTAATCAACTTGCAAAATAATCGTTAGTTGCAGCCCTACATATATATTATATAGACAGCTTGTTGCAGATAAAATCAGCAACAAGCTGTCTAAGTGCCACTATCATGAAATCCAATTCGCCAGCTTAATTTATCTCTGTTTCCTTTTGCTATTTAATAAGCTATTTTGGGAAATGTGTTTAGACAAATTTGTTCTTAAAGTTTACAATGTTGGAATGTATTTAGCGGTAAATGCAACATCCATGGTGAAAAGCATCATTAAGTCTTAAAAACTACAATGTTGCAGTGATACTGAAAGGCTAGTAACATACACACAATATATATGATGCTTAGCAATAAATGATTTATCTTGCACAGGTTACAAAGGTAAACGAGTCATGCTTCATATTGAATCTCCTCTATCACAGTGGTTTTATTTGTTACTTAGTATCTTATAATCTTATGCAGGAGGGAAACTTTCTTCATGGATGGCTCTACTTGAAAAGATATGTTAGTTAATGCCATGAATTATTTAAATAGATTAGGATGAAACAGATACACACAGCAGGTTATGTACTAATTATTGTGTAAAATCTTCACCATTCTTAATGGGTTTTAAGTTGAATATTTATCTCATCTGTAATATTTGATCAATTTATCCATTTGTGGATAAAGAGAGATGCTTAACTTTGGAGTAAATTCAGTTTCAAAA